TCCCAAATAGTCTCTCCTTTCCCACCTTCTGACCAGCCACCTTCAGTCTTAAAAGATACGCTGGAGGTGGCCCACTGGAAGCCAGAGGGGAATGATTCCTGAAGGAAAAGATCTCGTTCTGCTGTGGTCTGGGACTTAAATTTATCCCACACAGTCTGATAACTGTTTCTTAACCCTGTCACCCTGGTGTGGTGTGAAATGCCATGACTTTTGGAAAGAGAGAGACATGAAAAATATAAGCAAATCTTTAAAACAATAAGAAAAAAAAACAGAATTCCAGTACATATAAATCAGAAAATGAACTCTTACTTGACAAGAGCATCTTCCGTGTCCAGTTTGCCTAACATGTCCTTCATGTCACATCCCATAATATTCAGGCCATTGTCCATCAAGACTGTGTTGTGTTCAAGAAATATGAATTGTTTTAAGTTCAGTTCTGATATATGTTATTGTAACAATATGTATTCACTATTACTGAAAAACATCATAAGTGTGTGCTAAGTCTATGGGTGCCCTATATAACATCACTGGCCCATAACAAGAAGATTTCATGACATGATAACACTCCCAAGATTTAGAACTTTATCTTAATGTATTCTGTTTGGTTAATAACACCAGAGGATTTGCCCAAATTTTGTGGCCTTTGGTTTTTCTTTATTCTGCCATCCCGTAATATCTTCAGATAGCTGTTTTTTTGAAAGGATGTACACTGTACACAATAATAAGTGGTATTATAGTCACAGAAACATTTAACTGGTGTATTAGGCACCATGAGTACGTATTTCACAACACGAATCTCTACTACAACAGCTACCAGAAAGTAGTATTACATATACAGCTGCACATTCATAAAATTAGGTATTGTTCTCGTTTCTGTTATGGGAAATGATTATTAATATCTTAAATTTGGAAAGTCAAAAAGCTGTCATGACATTTACCATTTAGGAAATCTCCAAGAAGCTGGTAATCATTGGGAGAACAATCATGAGCGCTCATCTCGTAAATCAGGATAGGCAAGTTCCCGCTCAAAATCTACAACATAAAATGAAACATATGCAGCTTTGCTGTATCAGCAAAATGTTAAATGCAACGTATAAAAAAACATCTTATAATGCTTATTGTACCTGTAAGTTCCTCAGTTCATTTTCAAACTCTGAAGAGATGGCACAGTTGTAGTCAATGTGCACTGACAAGAAGTCCATCTGTTCCAAGCAGGAGATACACAAGATCAGGTTGTCACATCATTCTGAGATGGCACTTTTTTGAACCATTACGTCATCAATTTTTAGAAATTTTAAGGTAATTAAAGTGACTTATTCTTTGTTTTCATTGGCATCATTTAAATAAATTGAATGTCATGGTTCAGGGTCAGTATGACCCAGCATTTTGAGTTTCTTGTGTTTTGGTAATATTTTGTAGTATGGTTTATGTTCTGATTCACTGGTAGTCTTATATGCTGTTTTGAGTGTCCTGTATTCCCTGTTTAACTCCTTGTTTGGATTCTCTCTTGAGTCTTGTTTATTTGTTAGGTTCTCCGTGTATTTTATATTTCCTAGCCCAGTATTATTATACTCTTGACTTATTCTGTATTTGTAGTCTTGGTCTTGCCTCTGTTAGGTCTGTTGTGTTTCCACGTCATAGTGTTTAGTCTGCGTCTTTGTGAACTGTCTCATGTTTCCTGTTTTACTTTGACAGTCCCTTGTCTCTTGTCAGTGTTTCTACTTTTGCTTCCCCTTGGTCGCGCCATGTTTGCTGACAAGACACAGCTGTGCTCTCCTCCTGTGTCTCATTCCTTCGTTATCCTTCAGTGTATTTAAGCCCCGTGTTTCTCTGTCAGTGTTGCGTTGTACTGTCACCGTGCTGTGTGGTTTTCTTGGTTTCTTAGTTTTTAGATTCAAGTGTGTCCAGTTTATTTCTAGTTTTCTAGTTTGAGGTTTTGGTTTGTTTTTTGTGACGTTTACTTTTTATGGAAGGTCTCCCAGATATAAACGCTGCCGCTTTAAGTTCAATCTGTCTTATGAGTAGGGATGGGTACCGGT